TTGGGTCAGTAAAATTATAATCTTTGAAGTAAAAATTAGGGAAAGTGCTCAGAAATGCCTTGGAATCTTCAGAGACTGCTATGGCTTGGCTCTGTGTCCCCATCAAATCTCATCTCGAATTATAATCCCCATGTGTTGAGGGAGGGACCTGTAATCTCTGTGGGGAGGGAGGGAAGTGACTGGATTATGGGGGTGTTTTCCTTCGTGCTGTTTTCCTGATAGTGAGTGAATTCTCATGAGATCTGATGGTTTTATAAATGATAGTTTTTCCTGCACCCTTCCTCACTTCTCTCTCACTGCCTTGTGAAGAAGGTGTCTGCTTTCCCTTCTGCCATGATTGTAAGTTTCCTGAGACCTCCCTGGCCATGTGTAACTATGAGTCAATTAAACCTCTTTCTTTTATAAATTACCCAGTCTTGGGTAGTATCTTTATAGCAGTGTGAAAAAGGACTAATACAGAGACCCCCTACCACCATCTAAGAGTAGGGTTTTTTGTTTGTTTGTTTGTTTTTTTAGATAGGGTCTTGCTATGTCACCCAAGCTGGAATACAGTGGTATGATTATAGTTCACTGCAGCCTTGAACTCCTGGGCACAAGTCACCCAAGCTGGAATACAGTGGTATGATTATAGTTCACTGCAGCCTTGAACTCCTGGGCTCAAGCACTCTTCCCTCCCAGCCTCCCAGAATGCTGGGATTACAGGTGTGAGCCATAGCGCCCAGCCTAAGAGTAGTTTTGATTCAACATTGTTTTCAGTTTTTATTCCTTGAAATATTAGTTTGATTTCTATGATTTGCCTTGCAGATAAGGACTATTTCAGTTACCTAAAGATTAAGAGGCTTCAGTGGACTGTATCAAGCCTGATCTATCTATCTATCTATCTGTCTGTCATCTATCAGCTATCTAAAATCATGTTAATTTTAGCTGGACTTGGTGGTTCGCATGTGTAGCCCCAGCTACTAGGGAGGCTGAGGTAAGAGGACTCAGGAGGTTGAGGCTGCAGTGAACTGCGATCATGTCACTGCACTACAGTCTGGGTGACAGAGTGAGACTCTGTCTCTAAAAAAACTAAAAATAAAATAAAATCACGTTAATTGTCCTTGGCTATTAAAGCTGTACCTCCTCAATGCAAAATATTTGAAAATAAAGAAAAGTATGTAGAAGAATACAGCAATCCATAATCTCACCATTGAGGCACTGAAGTCTGTGGAAACTTTAGAAGACACTTCCTTTAGTTGTTTTCCCTCTATGTTTGTATATATAATATTTTTAAATTTTAACTTTTTTTCATCTTAAAATTATTTTTGAACAGGTACAAATGTAAATAGCACAAAAGATAATAAAGCAAAAACTGCATGTCCCTCCCATCCCTCATACCCTGCCCCCCGGCCATCTTGTTCTCAGTAAAGTGACCTCTTACTGATGTTTTTGGTGGTCTTCCAGTGATCGTCTAAGCATATACAAGCACATTGTGAATATCTTATTTTCTTCACTGCAGATCATAATGGACTGTACATTCTTTTCTTTAGCTTGCTTTTTCATTTAGCAATAGAGCTTCAAGATTGTTCCATATCAGTATAGATAGAGATCTTTCTCTTGTTTTTTCTTTTCAACTGGCTGGGTTGTGTTTCATTTTATGTCTGATTTCTAACTAATTTGATGTATAGTTAGGTTGTTTGTAGCCTTTTGCTGTTACAAACGAGTGAATAGGTGTCTGCATGCATCTCATTTCTGCTCTGGCGTATCTGGGACAAATTCCTAAAGTGAAATTGTGGTATGTGCATTTTTTGTCTAGATAGATATTGCCAATTCACTCACTATATTTTATCATAATTGAGGCTACGCTAAACATGAAATGTTTTTCTTCTTTTGAATAAGTTAATATTTGATATAAATGTGAATATTTTCTTTTATTAACATCATTTAAATTGTTGCATAATATATTGTGTTTTATTTTTATTGACACATAACAATATTATATATTTATGGGGTACAATGTGATGTCTCAAAACATGTATACAGGGTGTAATAATCAAATTATGGTAATTAGCATATCCATCACCTCATTCATCATGTGTTTGTGGTGGAAACATACATGCATTGCATGTTATATGACATATAATTAGCATGTTATGCTAATTACCCTAATATAGATATCGATCTATATATACATGTATAAAAGTATATGTATATGTATGTATATTTTTAGAGGCAAGGTCTCGCTCTAGAGAGCAGTGGCATAATCATAGCTCACTGCAACCTCCAATTCTTGGGCACAAGGGATCCTTCCACCTCAGGCCTGCAAGTAGCTGGAACTGGGTACATGCTACCATGCTTGGCTAATTTTTAAAAACTTTTTATAGAGATGAAAGCTCTATGTTGTTTAGGCTGGTCTTGGACTCCTGGCCTCAAGCAATCCTCCTGCCTTGGCCTCCCAAAAGTGCTTGGAATTACAAGCATGAGCTACAATGGGCACATAATGTATTATTAGGTAGAGATGGCATAATTTCTTAATTCTCTTGTTGGGTTACTGTTGTTTTAAAATTTTCTAAAATGTGAATGTTTTCCCTCCATTTCACTTTAATTCCTTCTAGAGTATATTAATAGAAAGTGAATCATTGAGCCAAAGGGATGAATATTTGATAAATATTGTGAAATTACTCCCTGGGAAATTTCTATCAATTTTTATCAGTGGAGATCAATGCTCATTTCTCCATATCTTCACCAATGGGAGTGCTGTTTTTCTAATCTTTCTTAATTATTTAGGATAATAGTATGCTGTATTTTAGTTTTACATTTTATTTCTTTCATTATTCCCAAAGTTGAATTTTTTTTTTTTTTTTTTTGGACTAGTCAAGTGCAGTAGTGAGAAGGGGGAAAGAGTAGAACAAGGAGTTCGATCTGTAACTGTGAACAATCAATTGGGATAACTCACTGCCTTCAGACCAGCCCCAAAGTTGAATTTTTAAAATGTGATAATGCTTTATTTCTCTTTCTTCTTGTCTTAGTCCTTTACTTATGGATTTATTTGAATTCTTTTTTTTTTTTTTTAGACGGAGTCTCGGTCTGTTTCCCCGGCTGGAGTACAGTGGCACAATCTCAGCTCACTGCAACCTTTGCCTGCCAGGTTCAAGCAATTCTCCTGCCTCAGTCTCCTGAGTAGCTGGGATTACAGGCACGCACCACTATACCCAGCTAATTTTTGTTAGAGATGGGGTTTCACCATCTTGGTCAGGCTGGTCTCTAACACCTGATCTTGTGATCCCTCTGCCTCAGCCTCCCAAAGTATTGGGATTACAGGTGTGAGCCACCTTGCCTGGCTTGAATTCTTTTATTATTTTTTAGTTTTTGAGACAGAGTCTCACTCCATCGCCCAGGCTGGAAGGCAGTGATGCCATCTCAGCTCACTGCAACCTCTGCCTGGGTTCAACCGATTCTCCTGCCTCAGTCTCCCCAGTAGCTGGAAGTATAGGTTTATGCCACCACAGCTAGCTAAATTTTTGTATTTTTAGCAGAGACAGGGTTTCACAATGCTGGTCAGGCTGGTCTCGAACTCCTGACCTCAGGTGATCCAACCGTCTCAGCCTCCTAGAGTGTCGGGATTACAGGTGTGAGCCACCTCGCCTAGCCTTCTGTTCATAACTCTTGCACTGCAGATGAAAGTGCCATAAGAACCTACAGAGCATCAAACTCAAGAAACAGAACTTAGGAAGCTTTATGTGTATAATTGACGGAATTCTCTGACATGGAGGAGCAAGTGCCTTGCCCGCTAGTCCATTTCGATTTTATAGTGTACTACTCCAGTTGTGCATTAGCAAAAGTCTTTAGATTTAAAAAAATAGCTAACATTTGCTGGAGGCTTATATTTTTTCCAAATCTTTACGAATGTCCTCAGTAAAATTAAATATTTTCTTTATTTAATACATACTCATTAAAAATTTTCAAGTTTATTGAGTTGAAATATAACATAAAATTAGTCATTTTAAAGTGAACAATTCAGTGGCATTAGTACATTCAAAATGTACAAACACAACCTTTATTTGTTCCAAAACATTTCCTTTTCTTTTGAGATGAAGTTTTGCTCTTGTTGCCAGTGGCATGATATTGGCTCACTGTAACCTCTGCCTCCGGGTTCAAGTGATTCTCCTTCCTTAACCTCTTGAGTAGCTGGGATTACAGGCATGCAGCACCATGCCCGGTTAGTTTTTTGTGTTTTTAGTAGACACGGGGTTTCACCATGTTGGCCAGGTTGGTCTCGAACTCCTGACCTCAAGTGATCCACCCACCTCAGCTTCCCAAAGTACAGGGATTACAGGGATAAGCCACCGTGCCTGGCCTGTTCCAAAACATTTTCATCTTTCCAAAATAAAACTCTGTATCCATTAAGCAGTTACTCCCCACTCTTTCTTCTCCCCATTTTCTGGCAACCACCAATCTGCTTTCTGGATAGGTTTACCTATTCTGAATATTTCACACAAGTGGAATAAATAATAAAATATGTGATCTTTAGTGTCTTATTTATAAAACATTAGCATAATGTATTTGAGGCTCATCCACATTATAGCATATATCAGTATTTCACTCCTTCTTATAGCTGGACAGTATTTCATCATATAAATATAACAGTTTGTTTATCCATTTGTTAGTTGATGGACATTTGGGTTGTTTCCACCTTTTGGCAATTGTGAGTAGTGCTGCTATGAACATGTGTGTGCAAGTACTTATTTGAGTATCTATTTTCAATTATTTGGGATATATGCCTAGGAGTGAAATTGCTGGGTCATATGGCAATTCTATGTTTAACTTTTTGAGGAAATTCTAAACCATTTTCTATCATCCCTGCACCATTTTACATTCCCACCAGCAATGTTTGAGGATTCCAATTTATTTGTTTTTACCAATACTCGTCATTTTCCTTTTATAGAAAAATTGTAACCAATCTCATTAGTATGAAGTGGTATATCATTGTGGTTTTGATTTACATTTTTCTAATGACTAATAATGCTGGGCACCTTTAATATGCCTATTTGCATTTGTACATCTTCTTTGCTTTTTTTTTTTTTTTTTTTTTTTAGTTGTCAAGTGCAGTAGTGTGAAGGGGGAAGGAGTAGAATAAGAAGTTCGATCTGTAACTGACTCTGAACAATCAACTGAGTAATTCACTACCTTCAGACCAGCCTGTATACCTTCTTTGGAGAAATGTCTTTTCAAGTTCTTTACCCATTTAAAAATTGTCTAGTTTGTCTTTTTTGTCGAGTTGTAGGAGTTTGCTGCATATTCTGGATACTAAACCATTATCAGATATTTGAATTGCAAATATTTTTTTCCCATTCTGTAGGTTGTCTTTTCACTTTTTAAAAACTGATACATAAGAATTGTAGGTATTTAGAGGGTACATGTGATTTTTGATACATGCATACAATGTGTAGTGATCAAATCGGGTACCTGGGACATCCATCACCTCAAACATTTATCATTTCTTTTTGTTGAGATTATTCCACATCTTCTAGCTATTTTGAAATATACAATAAATTACTGATAATCATTTTTTCACTTTTTTGATAAGGTCCTTTTTTGCATAGAAATTTTTAATTTTGGTGAAGTTCCATTTCTCAACTTCTCTTTTGTTGCTCAAGCTTTTGGTGTCATAGTTAAGAATCCATTACCAAATCCAAGGTCATAAAGATTTACTCCTATGGTTTCTTCAAAGAGATTTATTATTTTAGCTCTTATATTTGAGTTGTTGATTCATTTTGAGCTACTTTTTGGATATGGTATGAGGCAGCTTCATTCTTATTTATTTTTTTGAGGATGGAGTCTCACTCTGTTGCCCAAGTTGGAGTGCAGTGGCATGATCTCGGCCTCCTAGGTTCAAGCAATTCTCCTGCCTCAGCCTCCTGAGTAGCTGGGATTACAGGTGTTTCCACCACACCTGGAAAATTTTTGTATTTTTAGTACAGATGGGGTTTCACCATGTTGGCCAGGCTGGTCTTGAACTCCTGACCTCAAGTGATCCACCCACCTTGGCCTCCCACAGTGCTGGGATTATAGGCATGAGGCACTGGGCCTGGCTGAAGCTTCATTCTTTTCCAAGCTGATAGCCAGCTGTCCTATTACCACTTAAGGAGATTATGCTTTTCCCATTGTTTTAGCACCCTTGTTGAAGATCAATTAGCTATTGACATATGGGTTTATTTCTGTACTTAAAAAAATTTTTTTTTTTTGAGATGGAGTCTCACTCTGTTGCCTAGGCTAGAGTGCAGTGCTATGATCTCAGCTCACTGCAACCTTCATCTCCTGGCTTAAAGTGATTTTCATGCCTCAACCTCCCGAGTAGCTGGTACCAAAGATACATGCTAACACACCCAGCTAATTTTTCTATTTTTAGTAGAGACAGGGTCTTGCCATGTTGGCCAGACTGGTCTCAAACTCCTGACCTCAAGTGATCTGCCCACCTCAGCCTCCCAAAGTTCTAGGATTACAGGCGTGAACCACCATGCCCAGCCCTGAGCTTATTTTCCTAAGAATTACATATTGTCTCTGTCAAAGAGGAGAGACCATTGGAACTTAATGCATTGTTTACTTTAGGTTTACAAAAGGTTAGATAAACAAAAAGACTAAAAATCTGTTTGTACTAGTGAACATTTCTTAATTGGTAACCCACAGTTAGGTTGATAGATATACTGAAGGCCATTTTTCTTGTTCACATGTAGTACTTAATTTTTGTCAAGTTTGTGACTGCTCAGTTTTGCATCCTCCTTTGCCTTCCTCTTTTCATGACCTTATTTCTTCAGATGAATATTTTGAGGTTATTTTCTATTTTGAGAAAACTATACAAATCTGATTTATTATCACAATAGCTCAAAAGTAGTTCCTGTTGAAGCTCTCCACATTGTCAATGAGTGACCTTCTGTCAGTTTCCTACACTAGATGGGAAACTCAGGCTGAGATTTCTCCAAAGTGCTTTCCACAGTGGCTGAACTAATTTCATTTCCCACCAATGGTGTACACGCATTCCCTTTGTTCCACAGCCTCGCCAGCATCTGATGCTTTTCGACTTTTTAATAATAGCTGTTCTGACTGGTATGAGATGGTATCTCACTGTGGTTTTGATTTGCGTTTCTCTGAGGATTAGTGATATTGAGCATTTTTTCATATATTTGTTGCCTGCTTGTACGTCTTCTTTTGAGAAGTGTCTGTTCATGTCTTTTGTCCACTTTTTAATGTGGTTGTTTGTTTTTTGCTTGTTGGATTGTTTTAAGTTTCTTATAATTTTGGATATTAGACTTTTGATGCAGTTTGTGAATATTTTCTCAAGCTTTCAGCAGAGAGGGTAGCTCCTTTCTGTAGATAGTCTTCCTGTTGTCTCTCCATCCTCTGCCCTCTTCTTGCTGAGCCTGGGGCTTTTGTGGACCTCAGAGGGGAGGAAGTATGTGCTGATTGGTCCATGGGTGGCCATGGGCACCCTGGAGGAGGCACCACAAGCTCCTACTCTGGTCTGTGGGACTGGCAGCCCAACCCCCAGCCTTCAGTAGGTTGTCTACTTATTTTGTTGATAGTTTCTTTGTTTTGCAGAAGCTCTTTCATTTAATTAGGCTCCTTTTGTCAATTTTTGTTTTTGTTGCAATTGTTTTTGAGAACTTACTCATAAATTCTTTCCCAAGACCAATGTTCAGAATGATGTTTCCTAGATTTTCTTCTAGGATTCTTACAATTTGCGGTCTAACATTTAAATCTTTAATCCATCTTGAGTTGATTTTTATATATGGTTAAAGGGAAGGATTCAGTTTAATTCTTCTGCATATGGCTAGCCAGCTATCCCAGCACCACTTATTGAATAGGGAGGGCTTTCCCCATTGCTTATTTGTGTTGACTTTGCTGAAGATTAGATGGCTGTAGGTTTGTGGTATGATGCCTTTTGAATGTGTTTTTTCTTTTTCACTTAGCACAATGCATTTGAGGTTTATCTGTGTTCATATGCTTATTAATAGTTCTTTTGTTTTTGAGTAGTATTCCATAGTATGGCTGTACCTCAGTTTGTTTATTTATTTGCTACTTGAAGAACATTTGAACTGTTTCCAGTTGTTGGTGATTACAAATAAAGTGGCTATACACAGTTCACATAAAGGTGTTTGTGTAAACATATGTTTTCATTTCTCTTGGATGGGCATCTAGGAATGGGATTCCTGAATTATAGGATAAATGCAGGTTTAATTTAATAAGAAACTGTCAAACATTTTCAGTTTTGTGTAATTCCTGTAATGAATTACCATGGTCTTAGTGGCTTAAAACAACAGAATTTTATTGCCTCAAAGTTCTGTGAGGCTAGAAGTCCAAATTCAAAATGTTGGCAGGGCCATACTCTCTCTGAAAGCTCTGGGGGAGAATTCTTTCTTTCTTTTCTTTTTTTTTCTGAGACAGAATCTCACTTTGTCACCCAGACTGGAGTGCAGTGGGGAAATCTCAGCTCACTGCAGCCTCTGCTTCCTGGGTTCCAGCAATGCTCATGGCTTGGGAACTCAGGCTCCCAAGTAGCTGGGATTACAGGTGCCCACCACCTTGCCCAGCTAATTTTTGTCTTTTTAGTAGAGATGGCATTTCACCATGTTGGCCAGGCTGGTCTCAAACTCCTGACCTCAAACTGACCTTAAGTAACCTGCCCACCTTGGCCTCCCAAAGTGCTGGGATCTTTAGGGTATTGATTTTCTTCCTGGAAACCTCTGTGGCCAGTGGTGCCTTTGCCTGAGTTCTTGCATCCAGGAAGAATGAGGTATGCAGGCAAGTGAAAGGTGCAGTCAAAGGGGACCTTTATTTAGTGTTAGCACAGCTCAGAGGAGACCCATAGTGGGTAGCTCCTCTCTGTAGGCAGGTTGTCCCATGGAATGTTCAGCTTTCAGCAGAGAAGAGGCCCTGGAGACAGTGGCTCCTCTCCATAGGCAGGTTGTTAAGAACATCTCTGCAGATCTCTGAAACTTTCAGCAGAGAGGGTAGCTCCTCTCTGCAGCTAGTCCTCCCATTGTCTCTCCATCCTCTGCTCTCTTCTTGCTGAGCCTGGGGCTTTTATGGACCTCAGAGGGGAGGAAGTATGTGCTGATTGGTCTATGGGCAGCCGTGAGCAGCCTGGAGGAGGTACCACAAGTCCCTAGTCTGGTCTGTGGGACTGGCAGTCTAGCCCCCAGCCTTCAGGCCCTCTCTGGCCTGAAGGTGTGGCCTTACTGGAACCTGCTCCCTTTCCTCCAGGAATCTGTCTCCCTTCTGCTGCCATTTATGGCCCCAGGGCTCAGGCACAACCCCGCTCAGAGATTGGAGCAGGCACCGGGAGAGGAGAGAGGCCAGGCAGTGGGAACAGACACCCCCAAGCCTGTAGGAATGGGTGGGGGGGCCTTCCTGGGCCCCTGAGGGTACAAGCTGCAGAGATGCCTGGGTCCTGTGCCTGGGAGGGTGGTTGCAGCTGAACCCAGGGAGCTCCCACCCCTCCAACTTGGAAGGGCCTTCCTCTGCTTGTCCCTGGCTCCTGCCTGCTCTGTGGAGCAGGAGGCCCAGGTCTGCAGCTGCGGGTTCAGGGGCTTCAGTTGTACCTGGGAGGGAAGATCCTGCCTGCTCCTGGTCACCTCTCAAGAGCACAGGGAGGCTTGAATCCACAGCTGCAGTTTGGGTGGCTATATCCCCTTCCAGGGGGACAGGGCCCCTGCCTGCTCCGTAGAGCAGGAGACCTGGGTCTGCAGCCATGGTCAGCTGCCATCTCCGGGATTACAGGCATGAGCCACTAGCCTGATCCTTCCTTCCTCTTCTCACCTTCTGGTGGCTCCCGGCAATCCTTGGAACTCCTTGATTTGCAACTGTGTCATTCAATCTCTGCCTTTATCTACATATGGGCTTCTCTCCTGTGTCTTTCTGTTTTCTTTTTTAAAAGCACACTAGTCATTTGGTTTAGGGCCCACCCTTATCAAGTATGACCTTACTTTAACTAATTATATCTGCGAAGACCCTATCTACAAGTCAGGTCACATTTTTACGTACAGGGTGGACATGAATTTTGGGGGGAACACTTATTCAACCCACTCTGGCGGCTGTACCACATTGGATTCCCACTAGCAGTGCCTGAGAGTTATAGTAGTTCCCAATCCTCACAACTTCAGGCTTAGCAACTTCAGGAGATAGAAGAGTTTCATCAAAAGTCTCAGGACTGTCTCTCATTGGGCTGCCTAGGCATACATGCACATTCATCCCTGAATTTATCGCTGTAGCCCAGACGTGGAACATGAGGGTTGGCCAGGATGTGGTCATGTCCGTACTCCTGAAGGTAGGGATGAGGAGGGGTCAGTGCCATGCGAATCATGTGAATTGATTGTGGATAAGGGGCTTCCTAGACAAAAACCAGGGAGATGTTAACAGAAGAGAAACTGAGTGATTGTCAGATAAAAACAACTAATTTCCTCTACAAATAGGAAACTGCCTTTTGCAACCACTCTTTATCAGTTTCCAACAACTGCTGGAATCAGAGCAACAGCTACCCTCTATTGATTGTTTTCCATGTGCCAGGCACTGTGCCACGTGTTTTACATGGCTCCAATTTCCCCAGCATTCCTCTACTCTCACCTTTTTTTTTTTTTTTTTTTTTTTTTGGGAGACGTAGTCTCACTGTCACCAGGCTGGAGTGCAGTGGCACGATCTCGGCTCACTGCAACCTCCACCTCCCAGGTTCAAGTGATTCTCTTGCCTTGGCCTCCTGAACAGCTGGGATTACAGGGGTCTGCCACCACGCCCAGCTAGCTTTTGTATTTTTAGCAGAGATGGGGCTTCACCATGTTGGCCAGCTGGTCTTGAACTTCAAGTGACCACCCACCTTGGCCTCCCAAAGTACTGGGATTACAGGCTTGAGCCATCGCACCTGACTCACCCTTTTTACATGTAGGAAACGAAGACTTGGAGACTTCGGATAACACTTTGAAAGTCACATAGCTATTAGGGGGTGAACCCTGGATCCCGGGCCAGAACTTCTAACGTCAGTACCCCCTATGCTGTCCTGTTATTTCCCCCCAGTCTCCCAACCAGCCAGTCTGTCCCTGTCTACCTTGACTTGACCCTTTCATTGACATGAATAATTTTATGGAGTGGTGACTTTTTTTAAATTTTATTTAACATTTCAGGGCTTTTCCTAGTGATAACCTCTGTTTCCTGCTGAGTTCTGAATCTAGAGCACAGGCAGGTTTCCTGCCCTTTCTCCCATAGCTACTGAACTCCAACTTTGTACTGATGGGGTGTCTGGGGCCCAAGAGAGTTTTCTGTCCCTCACCCGGCAGCAGTAGACTACTAATTTATATGAGTGTGTTTCTTCTCCAACCCTCCCCTCCCCAGGGTAGACAGGCACCACCTTGTCCTCAGACAAGGCTCAAAGCATGAATGAGCTTCTCTAGGTGTGCCTGCTCCACCCTAAATCCATGGCAGGTGCTGTAGGGCTGTAGCACCGAGGGGAAGGGTCTCCTAGGCCTACTGTGCTGTTTCCAGTCTTTCCCATGCGCACTGAGTAGAGGCCAGTGGGAAAGGATGGCAAGCAGATGGGGATTTCTCTGTGACCAGTGTGCTCATGGCTTCTAAACCGCTGTGCTAGCTTATCCTTAGCTGGTAAGCATTTGTTTTTTTCTTAGCCAGTTTTGTGATGATTGCCTGTTCTTCCCATTCTCTGCCAAAAGAGGAAACAGTGGATGCATCTTGTCCCTTTTTGGAAGGACTTATCAGCCTTAGGAATTCAGTTCCCTTGATTGCTTTGTATAATAGCTCGATTCGCTGATGGGCTAAAACAAAATTATGGTTTTATATATCTTATAGGTTATCCATTTCTTAATATATTTATCTGACACATTGCAGGGTTTTTCTGTTTGTTTGTTTTGTTTTTGAATCTGGCATGTCTTATCCTCTTCTGAATATTTACATGGCACATTGACATCTTAAAGACCTGAAAATTCCTGCAGAATAGAGAAATAATTTTTTTTTTGAGATGGAGTCTCGCTCTTGTTGCCCAGGCTGGAGTGCGATGGCACCATCTCAGCTCACTGCAACCTCCTCCTCCTGGGTTCAAGCAATTCTCCTGCTTCAAAGTAACTGAGATTACAGGTGCGTACCACCACATCTGGCTAATTTTGTATTTTTAGTAGAGATGGGGTTTCTCCAGGTTGGTCAGGCTGGGGTCTCAAACTCCTGACCTAAGGCGATCCACTAGCCTCAGCTTCCCAAAGTGCTGGGATTACAGGCATGAGCCACCATGCCCGACCTAGAGAAATAAATTTAACTTTGTTTAACAAAGTGTTCCTAAAGTTTGTTTGGTCACAGAACTCTTTGCTTTTGTAGCACTCATTATTTCCCTTAGAATTAATAGTCTGAGAACACAGTTTGGGAAATAGAGGGCTGGATGTTGATGTTTTATTGTGTGGGAACTGGAACCAAAACAGAAAGCCAGGATCTGTAAAGATAGTAACAGAACTGTTGTGAGTATTTCTAGAACCAGAAGGCATCCTGAAGATTGGGTGGAAGTTCTGGGTGTTACCCAGGCACTCAGCAATGGCCTTGGTCAGTAGTCCATGTTTCATCTTGTATGCTATAACTTCAGAGATGGCCGGGTGCCGTCATTCACTCCTTTAATCTCACTGCTTTGGGAGGCTGAGGCAGGTGGATCACTTGTGGTCAGGAGTTTGAGACCAGCCTGGCCAACATAGCGAAACCTCGTCTCTACTAAAAATACAAAAATTATCAGGGCGTGGTGGCAGGCACCTGTAATCTCAGCTACTTGGGAGGCTGAGGCGGAAGAAACACTTGAACCCGGGAGGCGGAGGTTGCAGTGAGCAGAGATTGGGCCACCACACTCCAGCCTGGGCAACAGAGTGAGATTCTATCTCAAAACACAGAAACAAAAAACAAAAACAACAAAATACTTCAGAGAGGATACCTGGATGAATGAGACACAAAAGTCAAAATGAAATGTCTGGAAGTCTGTAGATCATTCCATTGACTCTCCTTTCTGACACACCCATCTCAGTCTTTGAAACCAATAAGATATCTCTTCCTGGCAGCTGTGTTTATACACGTTGCTCAGAAGGCTGGTGCTCACCAAGCCTGCTGTGGTTGGGACAGACCCTGAATGTGGAGCTGCTATTATATAGTAGGGCTGGATGTGAATCTATTTTGTGGAACCTCATCCTAATTGTAAATGATTTCTCAGCCTCAGATTTAAACTCCTTGGCTTCTGGGCCCTGGTCTGCCCTGTGGATTTGAGAGTGGGCATTTGGTTTCTGCTCTCTGCCCCTCAGTTCCATCACCATCCCTTGAAGTAGCCTAGATATCTGTTATTTTCAGCTCCTTGCACCCCTTTCAATTTTGCTCATGGGACACCACCTCTCTCCTCCATCCCATATTTAGGAGGATCTGCCTGTCTGTAATTGCTGATAGGGACTAAAGCTGGGGTTCAAACCCAAGGGGTCTGACTCTAAAACCCTCTTTCATAAAAATTACTCTAGCTTGCTTCCTGGTACCAAATTGCATCGCTTTTCATTGCACTTAATTTTTAATCCTCTAGGTCATGAGCTATAACAGAGTTTCTCTCCAGTCATTTGAATCACCACTTTTAAGACAGTATCTGAGTCAAGATTTAAGATTATACAAAATAAACCACAGTTCTCATCTCATAACAGGGAAAACTTTCATCTCATTAGTTTTAGTGGTGGCAAAAAATTAAGGTTCTGTTTGAAAAATTATTTTTACTGTAAGATCCTTAGTCCTTTTTATTCCTCAACTACATCAGCTAAAATATGGCCATGAGTGATGGTTATGGAAGCGAACTGCTTTTTCCAAATGATACTAACCTAATTACTCTGGAAATATCAACACTGAATCAAGAAGTATATTATGACTAAATTGTTCATTACACAAAATTTAGATAGCCTTTATTTCTTCCATGCCTTCCTTCTCTCCATCTAGAAGTGTATTTAACCAAGTAATCAGGGGTACTAACTATTTACAGCCTAGGCAAGTGTCGGCAAATAACCACTGCAGTAATACATTGGCAGCCTCAGAAATGGCTGGCTATGAACAAGCACATAGCACTTAGTCTGCTCCTTCTTCTGTGTTTGCCAATACATTTGCAATTTCATGCACAGATTTAAATGTTAAGCATTAATCTGAAATGGGCACTGAAGCATCAATAAAGTCTACAATTTGGCCCCTTTAATGAAAATGCTAGATATAGATTTAATGCAAAACTAAACATTTGGCTCAATATGTTCTACTCCAGTAAATTAGCTAGTGTTTGTCATCTTTTTTTAAAAATGGGGGCTGAATGCCTCATTTCACATGGTTTTGTTAGGGACAGATAGAAAGCTGATAAACAACCCATTTGTTCTATTACAGTAGCTCCTCCGTCACACTACTGAAGTTAAGCTTCAGTGCTTATTTCCTTTACAAATCCTGTTGTGAGTTTAAGTGGCCTGCTTCTGAATATTTGACTGAAGTGCAGCCTTGACGAGAGTGCTTTCCCAGAGAAACACAAATGAAGCTTTTATGGACCGTGGCCCTAGGGCAGTGTGTTCTGAAATGACTCAGTGAACCTTAAAGGGAACAGAGCACCTGTGAGCCCTACTGTGTGCTGTTTGGGACTGTCAGATATATTATCCCGCAGTAGCCCTAAGAGATTCATGTAACTGTCCCCTGCTTGGCCAGATGAGGAAACTGAGGGCTAGAGATGAAGCTGTATAGCTAGGAAGTGATGAAACCTGGATTTGACCCCACTCACTATTCCACATTGCCTGGCAGCTGGAAGCTGCCCTTCCTCTATCTCTACCAGCGGTGCATTATTTGTCATTCAAGGAGCTTACGCATGCCACCTCCTCTAGGAAGTCATTGCTGATTGCTCACTGTTAACAATCCTTCTTATGTGTTTTTATTGTACTTTATCTGTTTCCAATGTAGTCCTTAGGACATTCTGCCTTTTGGTACATTAAGTGAATACCTGTCTGACTCTTTATAAGAGGAAGGGCTATCTCTTACATAGACCTTGTATATACTGCAGAACTTTCACGATCAAAGGCACTCGATAAATGTTCATTGAGGCTGGGCATGGTGGCTCACACCCCTCACCCCAGTACTTTGGGAGGCCAAGGTGGAAGGATCACTTGAGGCCAGGAATTTGAGACCAGCCTGTGAAACATAGCAAGATCCTGTCTCTACAAAAAAAAGTTAAAAAAATTTTTTTTTTAAAGGCATGATGGTGGATACCAGTAGTCTGAGCTACACAGAGGCTAAGGTGGGAAGATTGCTTAAGCCCAGGAGGTTGAGGCTGTAGTGAGCTGTGATTGCACCACTGCAGTCCAGCCTGGAGACCTGTCTCCAAAAAAGAGTTAAAAAAAAAATGTTCATTGAAATCTTTATAAAATAGATGGCTCTCAATATCTCATATCCTATTTCCAGAATTATGAAGAGCAGTACAGTCAAGGGGGCAGGTCTTGCAGCAAGCCTGACTGAGTTTGAATCCCAGCTGTCTGACCTTAGGAGGGCTGTAGAGCTTCTCTGAGTTTCAGATTCCTTCCATTATAAAGCAGGGATAGTAATAGTATCTACCACAAAAGGTTGCTGCAAAAGTCCAATAAGAGAAAGAGAAGGCATACATATTGCTTAGAATAGTGCCTGCTACATAGAGAATGCTCACTGAATCTTGGCTATTATTTCCCAGAAGTGTTTGGAGATTTTATAGCATAGGCAAGTAGCTTTGTGGCACTGGTTGTCTACTATTTTAAAACGTAAAAAACGGGAATATTTGATTTGATTAATAGCTGAACTGACAATGTGCAAGAACCATTTAATAATGACCAATCACTAAACATTATGAAAAAAGAAATGATTTAAGGAGGCCAAGACCCAGGCCCAGGTATTGGTAAGCCATGAACTCACCACATGCCTGAAGTCGACAGTCCAGTGAATTCTAGTACTGAATATGGGCAGGAGATTTTTGCAAGAAAAAGTTTTTGGGTAATATGCATACTGCTTTTTTTTTTTTCTTTTTCTTTTCTTGTCCCCTGGGCAATATGTGTACTGCTTTCTGAGAATGACTTTCCAAATAATTGTGTACCTACTGACGCAGGTGTCATAATTTCCAAACCCATCCAATCAATATGTAGCAGAGAGAGAGATCTGCTCACGGTTCAGAGAGCTAATTTGGTAACTCCAGTGGGCCATTCTGTTCCTTGTTCTGGATAACTCACTAACTAACCTACCTGCCTATTTAATGCTATTTGTCTTGGGTAAGCCCCTCCACATCCCTTTGAGCTTGAATCTTCCTACAGATAAATATGGATCAAAATATGGATACCTCTCCTTCCTTTCTCTCTTTGGACCTCAGTTTCCCATCTGTAAAATAACCAGGTGGCCTCTCAGTCCGTCCTCAGGCTCACCTTCCATGTTTCTGCCTCGCCTGGGGTGCTATAAAGTTAGTTAAGTGATACTGACTAAGCTGTTGTGAACTTCCTGACCCAGTGCCCAGTTGGACACCAACTGACTAGGAGAGTTGATGGCCGAACAGGGAAGAACAGGCTCTCCTCAGCTGCCGGACAGGGAAAGGAGGGGTGGGGCAGCTGCCGATGGCTATGTCTTCCCCTGTGTCCTGCTTACCTGGCCTCTGCTTGTATGCCACAACTCTATTTTTTTGGACAGGAGGTTAAGTGGCAGGAAGGCCCAGAGGTCTGAATTTTCTTAAACAGCCAGACATCCTTGGGCTGACCCTGTGCCCTTGCTCTCATCAAAGGACATGATGAGTGTGTATAAAGTGAAGCTACATGAGCAGCCCACTGTGAAGGGAGAAGGGCAGGAGGTCTTGCAGCCTAGACTCTTTGGCTCCAGATGGCTGGAAAAGTCAACAGCTCTAGACAGTTTCCCAAGCCGGCTGTGCACCAGCAGCACTTGGGGAGGTGGTTTAAAGTACAGATTTGTGAGCTGTAGCCTAGAACACTCAGATTCAGTAGGTGAATGGCCTGAGCATCTTATTTTTAGCAAACTCCCCAGGTAGTTCTTGGGCACAGTGAGGCTTGGGAATCCCTTTGGTTTAGGTCATGGAGAGATAGAAGTTATGGGATAAGGTAAGAATGGCTGATGAAGCACATCAGCTCCACCCATGCTCCAGTGGGGTCAGCAGTATGTGGCATCCCAGCTCATTCCAGCTGTGCCCATGGTTGTGTCTTAAAATCTGAAAGCCTCGATATTTATTTCTAAAATGGGAATCCTACTGACAGCCCGATAGTATTAATGTGAAGGTGAAATGGATGATGCCCATGAAGCACTTAGTGGGGGCCCCGGCACAGAGTGAGCATTGAATGCTAGTTATTGTCGTTATTATTGCTGTTAACATTATTGTGGAGGGCCAGGTGCAGTGGCTCCCACTTGTAGTCTCAGCACTTTGGGAGGTTGAGATGCAAAAATTGCTTGAGGCCAGGAGTTCGAGATCGGTCTGGAAAACCTAAAAAAATCCCTTCCTCAAAAAAAAAAAAAAAAAAAACAAAAAACTGAAAAAATTAGCCAGGTGTGGTGGTGCATGATCTAATCACTTCCCAAAGTCCCTACCTCCTAATTCCATCACACTGGGGGTAAAGATTTCAACATATGAACTCTGTTCAGTCCATGACAGTGGGGTAGCCCTGGACAACATGTAAGGTCTTGTTCACTAGATGATTTGCTCCAGGGGCTCCAAGGAACTGTACTTTTAATATATTTTGCAAAGATGACTCGTGAAAAGAGTCTAAAAATGTTAATATGATTCAATTTGGGTGATGAGCATTTAACTGGCCCTTAGGATATTCCTTCAATTTTCTTAATGTTTGAAATATTTCAACAATAAACTAAGCTAACATTTATAAATGCCAGCTGATTGGTTCATGTTAATCCCAGCCCATGTGACCTTGATCAAAATGGGGAAGGAGGCAAAATGGCTTTCAGGATCCTCCAGATGTGTGACTGCACCCCCTGCCTTCCCGTTTAGACCCCTGTCACTTCCTCCCAAGTTCTTCAGCCACCCAAGACCTCCCTTCCTCAAGGACTTGTTCTTCCAGATCTCATCTTGGAACTAGTTTGACTCGAGGTACTAATGAGTTGATGGTGGCTGAATTTCGATTTCTGCTTTTTCTCATAAACCAAATGGCATACATGTCGGACCCCTGCCTGTGAGTGATGAGGACATTTTGATGGAGGGTGAAAGTTGTACATTACCCTTGCAAACTACCAGGTGTAAAGCTGCTCCCTTGTTGCAGTGGAAAGATCAACCCTGTTTCAATGTTATGATGTTCCTGTCCAGAGCAATTCAGAATGGTGCCAATCTCAATTCGGGCATGTGTGTGCACATGCACGTGTATGTGTGTTTAACCTGTTAATTTATTGGTTGAAAAAAATGTGATAAATTGCCTTTATGTAAACAAAATAACAAAAATAGTGACTGAGATGTTCACTTTTTAACCAGTCATCCTTGCAAAGACAAAGAGGACTTTTGCTAAGTTGCTTTTCATAATGTCACACAGTCAAACAAATACAAATTCAAGGTGAGATTTTTCCTTTTGTTACTATCTTCCTCTGGTGTGAATACCTAATCTGATATCAAATCTTTTTCTTCTTCCTTCACAGTCCTCTTGATGGACCTTGATTTCCTTAGAATCTTAGTTTTCTCCTAAGGAGGCACCTCTCTCTCTTAAGATACCTGCAGGACTACGCAAACTGTAGTATTCCCATATCACTCTCTCGGTTTTTGCCATATCCATGTACCACCCTTTCTATCATTGAAACAGCTTTCTTTATATGAAATCACTTAGAAAATAAATTTATTTTTGCCAGGCATGGTGGCTCACACCTGTAATCCCAGCTCTTTGGGAGGCCAAGGTGGGTGGATCACCACAGGTCAGGAGTTCGAGACAAGCCTGACCACGACGGTGAACCCCCCATATTAGCACCAAACACAGATTTTTCTTCCTTGATTTAAACCAAACGACTAAAAAAGCTAATAGCCTCTTGAAGTAATTGACTGTTATTTAATGCCTACAACGATTCCTTACACTAAAAGTAGTCACATCCCACTCTTTGGAGCTCTGGATTGCTGCAAATGGTCTTCTAATCAGATTACCTGGTTCTATTCTGGCCTTAATACCTTGAATGCCCAAGCTTCCCACTCCCTTCTTAGCTTTGGAGTCTTGCATTCTCTCCCAGGACCTTCTACAAAGTCTCTTTGGACCTTTGTACCTTGCTTCCCCTGCCACACATTCAGGTCCACAAAGACACTAATTTTGTGAGCATTTTTTCTAAACCCTGCCTCAAAGACTTCCAAGGAAGGCTGACAGTGTGTCACTTAGCCTCTCCAGCCCTCCATTTCCTCATCTGCAAATCAAGGAAGTCTAATCATTCTGGCTTCACAGACTGTTGCAAGGATTAAATGATCCAATGGAGAGAAAGTGCCTTGCACAATGGCCGTAATACATGCTCAGTAAGCAGCAGCAACTGCTTCTTGGTAGCCATAAAGTCATCCAATCTGACCCCAGTGCCAATTTCTTTCAAACAGTCAGTTCTTAAATGACCTCTTAGCCCTTGCCACGCACATTGACTGGCTCTTACAAATGCCAATAAGCTATTGGTTTACTCAAAATCCTGGTCAGTGATGGTTGATTGTCTGGAATGCCATGTGTGTTTGCTTGGGTGCTTCCCAGACCTGGATCAGCTACCGAAGTCAAGGAGTTCTGAGAGAGTGTGATTGGAGAGCATGTCCTACTGTTCCCACAGAGAGATTCATGGCTTCACGGACAGGGCTTTGTTTTTCTCCCTTAGTGGACATAAGTAGAGGGGCACCTTTTACAGGGGACTATGGTCTTTTGCTCTCAAGGGGCTTTGGAGTCTCCTCTTGAGTATGAGGCAGTACATTCCTGTGGTAACATCAGTTTCTTTGTGGAAGCCTCTTCAGCCCTTCTTTGCCTTACACACTAGACTCTTGGAACCCGGGCTCATCCTCTTATAAAAGGATGTCAGGCAGAGGGTCATACAGTAAAAGGAGGTAAACATTCTTTTAAACTAATTTATCAGTTCAACACAGCATAGTGGTGTTGGGTTACCAGGGTCAACAACCAGCAGTTACATTCCTCAGCTGTTTGACTGGGGCAATGCACTTACAAACAGCCAGGAAAACTCTTTCTGATTACTTATGCTGATAAGTATTTTTTTTGTAGTGTGCTATGAGCTCTTTTAATTTAATCTATGTGGACAGCAGCCCATTCAGGTGAAATGTCTTGACTTATCTAAAGAAGCACTGATCAGAAGGCTACTGGGCCTGGAATTTTATTGTGCTGTATGTAATCATTAACACATGTAGCTACTGGTTTCCCGCATTTTGATTTTCTTCTTGAAAGGAAGGACATGTCTGTGGGGCGGGGGTATTAGGAAAGTGAGGATGAGTCCCAGCAGCAGTGACAGGAAAAGAGGATGCTACTACTAGCTTAGCCTGAAAACACTGTCTTTATTGCCAGGAGTAAAAGTATTTGAAAGCACTAATAATGACTTCAGTGAATATTCATCTTTTAAAAAAGGGCAAAGGAAGGTGAGGACATACTTCTCTCACAGAATGGAAATCTGCTAGATTAGGGGTGTCCAATTTTTTGGCTTCCCTGGGCCACAGTGGAAGAATTATTATCTTGGGCCACACATAAAATCCACTCACGCTAATGATAGCTGATGAGCTAAAAAAAAAAAATTGCAAAAAAGCTTCATAATTTATAAGAAGGTTT